TCACCCTGGATTTGTGAGCCAGGTTTGAGGGGCTCAAACGCTGCTCTGTGAAATGTGCACTTGGAGGTGTGGCTTGAAAGGTCAGAAAGAGTGACAGGACATTGAGTCACATGTCAGAAATGCAATGAAGCACTTAAGGGGTTTTTTTTGTTTTTTTTTTTTTTTGGAGGGGGGGTGTGAACTTAGATGGATTTTTTAAATATATATTTGCATTTGTAAATGTTCACTTCTAAACAACTAAAAAATATTCTATTATTAATATAGAAATATATAATTATTTTTTCACGAAAATATTTTTTATTGTAGAATAAAATCACAAATAAATCTGAAATATAAAAATAATATATATATTTTTAAAAATAATTTACAATTTGGAGTATTTTACTAAAACATGATGATGGTGATGCCAATGCTGGTGTATGTGTGTCTGTACGTGTGCATGTGCGTGTGTGTGTGTGTGTGTGTGTGTCCTCAGCAGTGATCACCTGCAGTGGTGGCTACCTTCAGTGTGGGAAACAGCGTCCAGTGTGCAGCTCAGCTGTTATTGTTGGGGTGGGAGCTTGCTCACTTCTCCGTGCAGTTTGTTTGTTTAAACCCGACACTGGGACCAGCTCCGGCGAAAAAACCTGTTTGTTTGTAGTCGAGAAGTTAATTAAAATGCAATCTTAACTTTTGTTTTTACAGTTGCTGCGAATGATTTGAGCCTCAGCCCCCTCACACCAAATACAGAATCTATAGTATGTGGTATATGGAGACAAAAATGTGGCTGTGATTATCTTGTTTATGTGAGCTGTAAACATTTTTAAAACAGCTTGATTGTGGATGACGAGTGTGGAATTATGGACGTTTTAACACATGCAGGGATGAGCACTTCTGTCCAGTAGTTCTGTTTTAAATGTTGTAAGCTTACTGAAGGATCCAACCTCTGTTGTTTTATACACATATTATTTGTAACAATTTATATTTCAATTTTTTTATTATCATTATTATTATTATTATCATTGTTATTATAGGAAAAGGTTGTGAGTGTGAATATCCTGCCTCTGTGTTTTGCAGAGGGAATAAATGCTCTCCACCTCAGAGATTTCAATCAACCTGAATGGGTAATATGGAATTAGTCTTTCCAGTCTTGTCGACGACTAATTATGTTCACACTTCACTTAAGTACAATAGCTCCCGTGAAATCCTCATTTTGGTGACATTTCCATGCAGGAGATCACAGTCAGGATGGGAAGTCGTTTCCTTGCGCCACTGCAGGCCAAGGTAAAACAACAGCATCAAACGGACTAGACTCTGTGATTTCTCTAGGGCTTGTTATTTCTTTTTTACTTCTTCATTCCATTTGATGCCCCTCCAAAACAAGATGACCCCAGGGAGCACAAATGAAAATTTGATAATTCTCTTCTTTTTTTTTTTCTTCTTTTTTTTTTTCCTTTTTTCTTTCAGCAAAGCTGCACCTTTGCGGCCAGTGAAACGTCTGTGCCGGTCTTACTGATATTCACCTCCTTGTCCCTCATTTCTGTTCCTTTTAATTGCCTCAGTGCAGGGAAAGGAGCTATCTTACAGCCTTGTTCACCCCTACTCCTTTTCACCAGGCTTTGACCTCTGACTGTGATAGGAGGGGGGGTGGGGGTTGCTCGGGGAGCGTCTTCATTAACTGAATCAGTAACTCTCAATGGTTTAAGATGTGTGGTTTGTGTTCCTTCATTAGATTTTCATATTTTGAGTTGTCTTCTCTTGAAAGCCTCTGTAGGTGTCTTTACTGACAAATGCTTTCTACACTGTTTGTGTGTGTGTGTGCATGTGGAGGCTGTGCATTATGATATGAATGAAATGAATGATCCCTATCCTTTACAAGAAGGAATATTTAGAAAATGTTTTGTCTCTGTTTTAAATTGAAAACCATGTTTAATTTCCTTTTTTTAAAATCTTTGTCCTTAATGTCATATACATATATTTATATTTTTATGCTGAATTTACAGAGAAAGCAGATGATCACGCTCTGTATGGAAAATATACAGTGTGTTATGGGCTGCACATGTGCCTGTATGTGCTTGTGACACTTAACATGCCACAGTTTAGATTTGTGCGTGTGTGTGTGTGTGTGTGTGTGTGTGTGTGTGTGTGTGTGTGTGTGTGTGTGTGTTTGGCCAGCAGGCCTGTGCTGGTACAGTATATTGCCTGCAGTCACTGCAGCTGTGTGAGAATGTTCCAGGTTTGAATGTTTATGTATGGGAGGCACCTGGAGAGCACCACACCTTTGTGAAATTCATAAACATCAGCTATTTCTGGCATCCTCAGAATGTCCTCTTTTTTTCGCACCCTCATATTGGTGGAGTAGATTAGAGCTGGGCTCAGTGGATCCCTCCAGTTATTAGCCCAGTACGAGCCTTCTTTTAGACTATCTTTAGATGGTGATATATTTTTGTGGATCATCTGGAGTCATGATGTTATCCAAGAGATAAGGGAGTGCACCATATGGGAGTGCTCTAAATGGCGACTGGCGTCCTGTGTTTGCATTAAATGGGCATGATACAGAGGCCAGGGCAATATTTTTCAGTTAAAGTGCTCCCTCCCGCCCTTCCTCTCAATAGGACCCAGTCTTAGGCAGATTTTCACTCCTTCAGCACAGGATTAAATGGTAGTAGTTACATTGATCAATAGGTTAAGAAGCATACAATCCCTCTTGCTGCTAATGACCTCAGTAGTAATGGGTAATAAAATGGGGGTCTATAATAGCCTCTTGCTGGGGCTGTGCGCAGAGGAAGCTGCTCTAGCTGTAGTTACTGTGAGCCAGACGCTCGTGACAAGGCGAAGTGTGAAACCATGATGAGATACACACCTCAGGTGTAAAGAATTAAGACAGTTAAATTGAAGAAAATCTCAATGTAATTTGTGATGCAATTGGCAGCTATTGAGGGCTGGTTAAGTGTGTAAACCCCTCTGTGTTAACTGGGAAGTTTGCTCTCCCCTTTTTCACATCACACTCTGTATAATATGGCATGACAAAATGATTATATATTTGAAAATATGTCTAAATTTACAGTTTTAACACGGTAGTAAAAAATAGAGCATGACAAATATGGAGTAGATTTTTAATGCATGTAGTTAAAGTAAAGCTTCAAAAAAGGGGGGGGGGCATTATTATTTATCCTTGGTGTGCGTGGGGGGTAAATGTCATATTTAGACGGGAACTATATATCATATCACGTATGGCGCTTGCATGTATGACACTTGCATGCAGCAAGTCAGGGCTGCTTGGTTGACCTTCAAAATAGTTAATCAAAATTAGCGATGCCCAGAAAAAAGGACTTCAGTGGATAATGACTGTGAAATTAGGAAATGGGAGGCCGGGGCTATTCAAATGACAGGACAAGTCATGTGCAAAAGTCAAGATGAACTGCATATTAAGACATAATACAGGGGGGAATTAATATTGCATTTTCCTCCTCGCGCGTCTATGCCTGGTGCTGAAAATGAGAAATGTGAAGTGTGTGTTAGTCCTGGGTGGGGCTGAGCCTCCTTCATTCTCTTGGGGCCAGAAGAACACAGCACAATGTAGTCTGGCACTGCTCAATAAAGTTAACGGAGAGCATCAAAGCTGGTCCGTCCTATTTGACATCACTGCCCTTTCCTCTGCATTAGTGGTACAAGCTGTTCATTATGGCAGTGCTTTGTTTTTCTTTTATGCTACAATGGGGAAAATGAATAAGGTAATATGCATGCAGGGTGTGTGTGTCAAGAAAAGCCCCTTAGTTACTGGACAAGATTTTAAACAGCTAAATTACATTCAGAAATGCATGAAAAATTCAAAGGGGTGTCATTAGCTATAAGGCGGCCACACAATTTGGGTAACCTTGGTGAAGACAGACTGTCACCCGTTATGTCCGCTCTATCAGCTGCTGACATCAGCCTGAGAAACAGAAAGCACACTCCAACACACACTGAGGCACATACATACTAATGTATGTGTGCATGTACACAAAAGAACCATCTCCAAAACGTCCTAACAATTGCAAAGACGCAGCACTATCGAGTACATCTCAGTTGCTGTTTGTCATACAAACGTCCAGGGAAGGAGCTTTTAATTGTATTGCACATCATCGCAGTGAGTGGCAGCATCCAGACACACTCCGAGTCCCCTATGCCGCCGGAGCAATTAAGGCACCCTGACAACTGTGGGGGCTCTTTTCAGTGTCACAACAAATCACTTGTTTTGAGGAGTCATGCACTCACACCTTTCTACTGGGAGTTAGTTAGAGGCCTGCGTGTTCTTCAACGTGGCTCCTCCTCCAGGCACTCTATATCTCCGCAATAATAGATCGCTGTTGACAGCGTCTCTAATGAAATGTTCTCACATGACATGTCGTGCGTGTGCGAACAGCGGCATTTTTGAGGCAATCTTTCACGTCCTCAGGTACGGCATATTTGCCATGTTGTGTAAATGGCAAGCTCTGAGACGCGTCTCGGCAGACGCGGATCATATGACGTTGAAGGGGTTTGTGTCTGTGAGAGAGGGGAAGGTCGGAGGATGGAGGTTGGGGTGGATACAGCTGGCTGTTTACTCCACAGGCGCGATCCACGCCCAGCTGTCCTTTAGCCCGCCTCAGTCTGGTGTGGTGTCATAATGGTTAGAGGCGTCGATATGTTGTGTGTTTGTGTGTTTGTTGGAGGGCATGTGCAGTTTTTAACACATGAAGATGACACTTGGGATTAATTGTAGAATCCAGTCAAAAGCAAAAGGCCATCATAGATATATACCTGTATGTGTGTATATTATTATTATTATTGTTATATATTATATTTTATACATTATTTATCCCAATCGTGTGTTATTGTCAATAATCTGCAACTTTTCTACTTCTTTTGCCTGTTGCATGCTAGGATAGCCTTTAGCCCACTTGTGAATATATGTTTCATGCATCAGTTCAGCGCCGTGTTTGTGGACTGGTGGGCAATGTTTTTTGACATCTATGTGCTCGCTGTTTGTGTCTGTGCAGGTTCCAGTGTCAGTGGCTATGATGACACCTCAAGTGATAACTCCACAGCAGATGCAGCAGATCCTTCAGCAGCAAGTCCTGAGCCCTCAGCAGCTCCAGGTTCTTCTCCAGCAGCAACAGGCCCTCATGTTACAGCAGGTAATGTACAACTGACACTCATGAATCATTTCAGCAGACAGCGTATCACATCTTTCAAATGGTGGATGTCTCTTTTTGGAAAGAAAACTCTTCTTTATGTATAGCGTTTCACAAAAGATAAATTCACTTTGAACTGCTACTCTTTTCCTTTTTTTTTTCCCCAAGCCTCAAAGATAACATTCCTCAAAGTATTGAAAATTCTCACAAAACCAACTGCTGAGTTTCTGTGACTGACAGACTTTGACTCACATGTCGCCCTCCGTCTCTTCTGTAGCAGCAACTCCAAGAGTTCTACAAGAAGCAGCAGGAACAGCTCCACCTCCAGCTCCTACAGCAGCAGCAGCAGCAGCAGCAGCAGCAGCAGCAGCAGCAGCAGCAGCAGCAGCAGCAGCATGCAGGCAGCAAGCAGAGTAAAGAGGTAGGCTGACATCACTCCAACTGCCTGCCATTACCAAAGCCGTTGGCCAGACAGAGCATGGAAGGCATGTGTGTTCCCCCCTCCCACAACCCCATCTGCTTCCAGACTGTGGTTAAAGCAGAGAGGAGAGGGGGAGAATCAAGTGCACTCATGCTTCTGATTAGCATGTCAGACTTGCTGGATAAATGGTAACAACTAACTGATACTGTGCTAAGAATATGGTGTCTCCTTTTCTGGAAGCGTCTCCACATTAAATGCATAATATTTTACAGTGCCTGAGCTTTAGTTCATTGTTCTAGATTTTTTTTTTTTTCCCAAGTAAACAAGTGTCCTATGCAACAAAGAGATGACCGCTCCTGTGAGCCTCATGTAGGACATAATGAAAGGCAGAAGGGAGAAAGGCAGGAACACGGAGCATATAAATCTGAGAGGCTTTTCTCGGTAATTAACATGGAAATGGCAGAGGAAGAGAAGGCATGTAATTGTGAGATATCAGTGCAGAGAGCGCTCCCAGCTTTGTTGCCTGTGTTGAGTTTTTTTTTCTTTTTTTTTTTTTTTTCTTTTTTCTCTCCATCTTTCTCGCTCTCTCTCTCCTTTGCTCCCTCCAGTACAGCAGGGCTTGCTCATAGGCAGCAGCTTAATGCGTGTTAATGACTGGCGGATACAGGCATCACTGTGGACAAAGCAAATTATTATTGTGCGGTCAGAAGAAGTTCAAAGACAATCTGGAAATTTTTTGCTGTTGTCCCCATTGAGTTCCATGTTTGGAGAGTGGAGGAAGCATAGAAAATTAAGCCCAGTTTTAAAAGCAGACACGCACACACATCTCCACGCATGCTCACTCTCGCACACGTCCGTGTGCTGTCGAAGCTCCCAACTTCAAAGTCGTAGCTCCCTAATTAATGAACTGCGGGCTTCAGTTTGGACAAGTTGTGGTGTGATGCTCCCATAAATCAACATGACAGCAGAGCTCCTCGGCCTCAGATAGGGCCTGTCACCAAGTCGCATCTGATGTAAACACTAGAGGAGCAAGGGAGAAAAGACGGGGGGGAGGTGGGGTTGGGGGAGGGGGGGGGAGCAATTGATCAGTTGAATGGAGCATGAGAATAAAAGAAAAAACAACTTTTGAAGCATATTATGTATGATCACAGGAAATGGATGCAGCCTCGAGAGGCTCTCCCCCTCTGCCGATGTTTTCTTTCTCTCCCCATCGCTCTCTCTTTTTTCAGTCGCATTTCTAGCAGCCATCAAAAGACAGAATAAGAATTATGCAGTGACTCCCCTGTGGCTGCCAGACAATAACCCCCTGTTGTTGCTTTGTGCCTCTTTTATTTTAAAGACATCAAAATTTAGTTTTTCAAAGATCTTTAACTTTATATTTGAAGCTTGACAATAAAGGCCTGCCAGTGCCACTCTTTATCATTTGTCAGGAACTGTATTTTTCTCTCCCTCGTGCCACTTCTTGTTAACCTCTTATTTGGTCTATTGGGTCTGGGGTTTTTAATGTGTCTGCCTGCTGGGAGCGCACAGGAGCTCCTGTCAGCTGATGGGACCAGAAGAAAAAAAAAAAAAAAAAAAACGTGAAGGGAGAGAGGAGTTAAATTCATTTGCAATACTTGATTTTTCTTTCTTCCTTTTTTCTTAAAAGCCACCCTCTGTTTATTTAGCATTTTGATGAAAGACATTGTTCCTTGTGAACTCCCACCTCTGTAGTACTATTATCTTTGTCTCGGGCTGTCAAGGAGGAGCTGGATAACAGAAAACCTCTGAGGACATGAGAAACTTCCCTTGCACTGATGGAGGAGGGAAAAAAAAGAAGCCACCACCTTTCATAAATGGGACAGATCAGAGAAAGTCACAGGCCACCTGCATCCTAAATTTCACTGCAACCTCTGTGAGATCTCTATCGTGTTCGTCTCTTCTGTCTCTGTCTCACTTTCCCTTCTCTCGTTTTGGGTTGGATCACACATGAGTCTGTGTGGTTACTCCTCAATTATGACCCTCCCGCTACCACTGTCAAAAGCGCCTTCTTCCCCTGATTGATCCAATGAGACGACCCCACTTGCTGTAATAGAGCCGCGCTGCCCAGAGCTTTATTTTTAGTGAGCCAACGCAGGAGCAGCAGGCTGGGTGTGGGCTGGGGGGGGGGGAGGAAGGGAAAGGAAGGCCGCTAGACCCTTTTGACAAGCCGAATAGGGGTGGGCGGAGGGGGGGGGGCACATTTTATCTGGCTGTTTCAGTGGTTTCAGAGCCGCCAGCGAGTGACCTGACAGCCGCGTTGCACCGAGACCTTTTTTGTATGCACTCAATTGTGAGAAGTAAACAAAGTGGTGTATCCTGTGTTTGGTAACAGGGTGCGGTGCACAGCTTGGCAGCCCAGCCACTGCTTTTAGTGCCCCCTCCTCTCCTCCCTCCCGCCTGACAACTGGCCTTGTATACTCATAAACAACCCCAGTATCCTGTTGAGTCTCAGGCGCGCTTACTTTATCCTTATCTGTTCGAAAATACAGAAGGTGTCCTGATAGATCTTGATGTTTAATTTACAGCAACAAGACGACTGGATTTGTTGAGAACGGGGATTGATGAAAGGGTTAAAAGTCATCTCTCTCCTCTGTGCCCCTTTTATCTAAATAGCATCTCTCATTTGTTTTGACTCATAGGAGATTGGGGATATTAGATAATTTCCTTCTATTTATTATTCTGACTCTGTCATTTTCTCCTTTCTATTTTCTTCTGCACTCTCATATCACTTCTTCATCATATCAAAGTTCACACGTTTCACTTTTCAGAGCCAAAATCCCCCCCACCCCCACCCCAAATCAGTGAAGGCACACCAGTATTTCATTAAATGCGTCTTGATGAAACAGCTGAAGCACAGTAAGATCAACAAAGCAACTATCTCTCAGTCAGTCCACAGTGTGTGATTGAACACAGCTTGCTGTGCTGGGTGGGGGAAGAGTGTATCCCTGAGCGCAGCGCCATGCCTGGGAGAGTTGTGAGAGTTGCCAGGGTGGTTATTAAGCACTTTGATTTAGTCACACGTTGTTTGCTGAATTATGAATGGCTGTAATTAAATTCCTGTGGCTCTTATTATGAATGATTAACTATGTTGTTTCGTTGTTTGTCATTTGCCTCCCGACTCCTTGTTAATTAAGAGAGAGAGAGATGTATAGTCCACCTGTCTTAAGTGGGCCCAGACAAACCCACACTAAAGGCAAAATTTATGAAACGTCCACTGTGCTATTTTGCGTGTTAGCATACACTAAATCCATTAAAGTTGTTTTAATGAATGAACATGTTTATTTTTACAACCTGACCTATGAACTCCGTGGCCTTGAACTTAAAATGTTTTTCCTCAGCAGCACACAGCAACGCACAAACCTGAAATTCATCTTCACATGTTTGCACTGGCTGTTGTGCCTCTATATACTGTACGCATGTTTGCTGATGGTGTTTCTCTTTGTGCCTCTCTCTCACCACCAGCAGCAGGTGTCAGCGCAGCAGTTGGCCTTCCAGCAGCAGCTCCTGCAGGTCCAGCAGGTCCAGCAGCAGCATCTGCTCAACCTTCAGAGGCAAGGGCTGCTCACCATCCAGCCCGGACAGACCGGCCTGCCACTGCACTCCCTCACTCAGGGTCAGTACCTCATATCACAGTGCTGTGCTGAACTACTCTCCAAAGGCTCCTGTCAATCAGTCCACTACTGCTCGATAAAACACTGCAACAAGTCTGTGTCTGGGGATGAGCCGACCTCTTTTTACGCCAATATTTTTACACGTGCTAAAGTTTGTTTTTCGATGTAAACTGAAGATTTGGCCCGCTGTTAGGTAAATATTAGAGTCTAGGTTATAAGACCAAAACAATGGAGATTGGGGTTATACTGATAAAGTTGTTTATTGATATGTTGAATGATCCTGGCCTTGATTTTCTTCACCTGTTATTATAGGAGTTCTTCCCTGAATGCAGCTTGTTTTTATAGTAATGATAATTCTACTTACAAAATTATTAAAATATCTATCCATAGAAATTATTCAGTCACAACGTAGGAGGATTTTAATTAGATGTAAAAGAAAGACTGATACTTGTCTTTGGCTTTCGTGAAATTTTCCAGTCACATGATCATCAAGAACATCTCTAAGATTTCGGAGGGAAACACTGGCACAGAGATTGCCCATTTTACACTGTAACTATTGGCAGCTTCACTCTAAACATGTTAGCATGCTATGGGCCTTCAAAAACCTCAACCCGTCATGAGATGACTTTGACTTTTGACTCTCATGCAGCTCTTTTTTAGCATTGTGGCTTGTGTAGGTGTATCACCTTATGTTCAGAGTGGTTTGATCTGCCACCGTTCTTGCCCTGCTACAATACCTGTACAAATTTGCTTAGTCAAAGTGAACAATGCCCCACTTAAGTGTGTAACCACATACTGTACATGGTTTCACTGAGGACACACCTGCTGTAAATCCTCGCTCAATTGTTCTATAATATCCTAAATGGCATCTTACACCTCTTGTCTGGGGAGTCTGTTTACAGAACCAGTTTGATTCTGGTAGGTTATACTTACTATCATCATATCAGACAGTAGAAGTAAACGTAAAGACAGAGTTCATGCTTTGTCCTTCAGCTCTCTGTCCTGTGTCTGTGATTGGCATCCTGGTGGCAGCCTCCTTCAGCCTGGAGGAAGACTGGATCTATTGTTCGCAAACTGCCAGTGAACTTGTCATTGTGAAACCGCCTGTTACTCGATAGGCGGTCAATACTTGTTGTTTGGCCAGGAAGTTTATTTCTTTATTTATCCTTTAATATTTTGTTAAGGAGTGGCACCCTCATGACAAAGACGCCGTCATAAGGGATTTAGAACATGACATTGACTATTCATTCCCAGCTAAGACAAACAGTTTTGAAATAACAAGATAAGGGCGATAAAAACGGGAGGGTTTAGGGGGAGGGGGGGGTGGGTGCTTAGGTAATAGGCAAACACAAACAGGGTTTGTACAGTGGTGTTATTGTTTGGACTGGGTATGGAATCACTCATCCGCTTGCAGACGATTGCCATGGGCACAGGCGTGGAGCGCTGCTGTGTTGTGAGTGTGCTTTGCTGAATTGCTCTGTGTCAGATGTCTGGCAAACACTCACACACCCCTTGAGTAAAGCATTATATGGGTGATATGGCTAGGTACTGTACTTTTGATGGATTTCACAACAGTCCCGGAACATCCTGTTTATACTGTGTCATCACCACCACATACCTGCGAGGCATCTCACCTTATCAAGAGAGCAGCTGTATTGAATTTATATCATTTTACCCTGCCAGTCTCTGATACACTTTCACAATTTGTTATGGCTGCACAGTTTAGTCTGTTAAAACTGATTATTATTTGCGTTAATTCAGAGCACTGATGCATCAATTAATTTCTCCTTAAACTGTATCAACAGATGATAAATGCTTGCATTACCACACCCAACAAGGTGCCACGGACGCAGTGAAATTACAGAGTAAATATATTTAGTTGAAAAATTCTTTCTCAAAGAGAAAATCTTACTTTTAATTCTCAGCTGGAAAATTATAATTTTATTTTGATAAGGAAATTTCCACCCTGAACAATGCTTTCAAATGAGTTGTAGTCAAAGCTGACAGGATCATTTCTCTGAGCTGTTGTTTGCATCAACATAAAAACGAGGAACTGAATCTCCCCACGTACAATTAGTTGATTGTTTCAGTTTGTTACAACCAGTCAAACCTGGTTAGTTTGCCCTCGCAATCCACTGATGGTTAACTCCGAGCCTCTGACAGCTGTTACAACACTTAGGCTAGTGCTTCAGGCCCCCAGTTTGTCTTCCTATTCTACACATTTTCTGCTTGACTGTTTGAAGTTATTGATGACCTTTCTGTTTTCCACATCACTAAACTCTTTCATGCATCAGCGGGCCAGGCCTATGGTGCTCAGATCTAATCTGCAATATTCAGCTAGCAGTTAGCACTGCGTCGGAAGTGATGAGTTGATCCGCTCTGTTTGGGTCTCAGTGATTATGGATTCAAACTTGCGGGGCAGTAAATTGGCATGACTTTTTAACTGATGATTTTTATTTCTTTCATTTCAAAATGTAGATATCATTATAATTATTTTTAAAAGGCCAGTGTTATCACATGCAATCCACTATATCCCCTTTTTTTTTGATGTGCTGAGGCATTGAAAGGAACAAAAGGTTTTCAAATAATAGGTCACTGTAACAGAGTAATTAAAGAAAAGTAGGTGTGCACTCTGTATTTGTGCTTTGGGTACTAAGATGCAGCTCAGTTTCCTGCTTTGTGAAATTGTTGGCTGAGACAGATCAGTATTTTTTTCCTGCCAAAACGATGGACTGTAGGAATGCATTTGTAAAAGCCTTTCAAAATTTGATAGGACTAATTAAGTATAAACTTACAGATAGCAGTTTCGAGAGAAAACCAATTGTCGCATTATCTGGAGTATAATTTGTTTCTCTTGTCGTAAATTCTTTTGACATTAATGTTCAAAGTCTTGGAAGCGGCCAGACGGTATCTGTTATAAATTACAACAATGTGTTTGGGGAGGATATAACTCTCATAAATATAAATTTGATCCATCCACCCCATCCACCCCACTCTCCCCCCTCCAACAAAAAGCCTGTCCTCTTGACCTGATAAGTGAGTCAGTGGTTGCTCAGGTGTTGTATGTGTGTGTTTGCATGTTTATGTACATGTGTGGCTGTGTGTGTGTGTCTGTGTATGTGTGTATCACCGAGGTTGGCCAGTGTTTGTGCACATCCTGGCTAAAATGACCCCTCACCCTCCGAGGTTGCTCTGCAAGAGAGCGAGTTCTGGTAGCTGCACAACATCATTTAAGCTGTCGAGGAGAGGCCAGTGGGACAGTGACAAGACAAATTTGTCGGTAATATGAAAGCAAAGAATGTGGCGAGCCATGAAGTGCTCACAGAACAGCAGCACATCAGGGACAGCGGCGGGTAATGCGACTGACCTGTCAGTGATTGATACATCCAGCAGTGGGCTACTGGTAATAGTTCCTGCAGCATTAGGACAGGACATATTTCAGGCCTAAGGGGTGCACATCAGCAGGCCAGTGATTACGGCAACATAAACAGGGGTGCAGTAAAGGTCCCAGCCTGACGGAACAATAAACTAATAGCGATGTCACTGTCCCCCCATGGCACCGGCACTGTGTGTGAGAAGTAACAGCTCGGTTTAAAGAGCCCAGAGCACTGGGGGCCATTTTTTATTTGGGGGATGATGGCCTGCAACTGATGTCATTATGAACCTTAAATCAACTTTCTGCTTGCTTGAACATGGTCACCTGGGTACAGGGGGACAAGGACAGGAAAAGGTTGAAGAGCTCGGCCTGTCTCGGTGCCAGAGCTACCTGCAGAGGTAAAATTGAGTTGGGAGGCCGGTGATCAATCAAGTGTCCCAACAACATACATTTTTTAAAGTGCTTGTCCGTATTTCCCAGTCGTAATGAGTGGAATAGTTGTGTTGAAAAATGGAAAGAGGAAAGATAAACCAATCCGGCATTTAAAGGATGGACAAACCGGGGACCCAAGAAAGAGGATTTACAGATCAATGTCATTATGTGTCCCACAGTAATCAGATGGAGAGAAACTCAATGCGTTTTGTCAAAACACAAAATATAAAACCTGCTGAGACCTTCGTGTAATGATATTTTATTGTCATTTATGTGACTCGTGAGCCATAGCTGTTGTTGAGGGAGGTTGGGCTTAGGTACGAGAAGAACAAGGGAAGAGGCAAACAGAGCAATAAAACTATGGACTAGATCCAGAAAGAGACAGCTTGGTCCCACTCCGTTAGCTCTCTCATCAGACCGGTCTATCCGCTGCGGTTTCATCTGAGTAAACAGTGGTGTCGGGGTCACCAGGACTGCTGGGTAATTGAGCCAGTGTGGGCCGCCCTGTCAAGCACATCGGCTAAAAATACATCGCCCACTGTCACCGGGCACCAAGTGGGGGGAAAATGATTGGTCCCACTGTCGGAGCACAGGACACTCGCATCACCAGTGACCTTCCCCTTCCAAACCAGCCATTGCTAGGAAAAAAACAGAAACAAAAAAAAAAAAAAAAAAGAACTTTTCTTCCAAACTCTCCTTAAACCATCAAAACAACAATGGATCCTTTGATAACGCAACTGGAAATCAGCAAGCATTGGATTAGCATGCTATAACACAGGCTGCAATATTAAGCATGTTTAGCCTGTCATGAACGTGCACTTCGATTAGGGCACATCAAGGCATTGAAGAGAATAAGAGAGAATACAGGCAGGCAGAATAGAGCGAGTATGTTGAAATATTTGAATGAGGAAAGACGCTCCTTGGAACGTGGAAAGGTTATTGATTTGTCCTGCAATCATTTCCTGCTCTTTGATATGCAAACGATCTAGTGTGAATTTACAGCAATCCTATCAGACTCATTTCACAGTTCTTAGCCCCTGCGTCTCTCTGGAGTCCTCCGCCTCATTAGGCCAATGTTCTCCATTACCAGCATAATTAAAATCTTTAGTAGCTTATCAAATTAAAAATATTTTTGCTGATCGTATTGAGATCTTCACCTCACAGTTATTTTCCACAACAGGAATAAATTAAGACTAAGCATTTTGCACACAATGTATTACAATCTGGTGCTTGAAAGGAGCACTTCTGGTATCTATAGAGCTGCTGATGAGAAACGGGGAGGAGGGGGGGGGGGGGGGGGGGGGGGGGGGTCCAGAGAATATAAACCCAAGTAGATAAGCATGTGCAAATCATCTTCCATTTGCCAGTTCTCATTTTGAGAATGGATTTAATTAATTGTAATGTTAAACGAGTGGTCTTGCCCATTTGCTCTGTGGTTAAATTCACCACATATCCAAGGGCCTCTCTCACCATGCTTCAAACATGTGGCTTATTTAAGCACGGATCTGAATACTCAACGCAAATCCACACATATTCGCCTTTTAGATCTTTCAGTATGCTATTAAAATCAGTACCCGTTACCCACGTGCGTTATGTTTTGACTGAAAATAAAAACAGCCACACATTCTGCAACCTAGAGGCCTAATCTTATTTTACATATCAGCCTCATCCTCATTTGTGTCAAGTGAAACAGACGTCTCCAGCACAGTAACAGACACGACCATAGATGGACACATATATTGTGTGCCAACAAAGGCTCTCTTCTCTCAGACAGGGAAAAATGGGGTGCACAAACACAGCATTATCCTTCTTCATCCTCACTCTGGCCCAGGGTGTCGGGATTGCTGTCACTCATAGGCAGGGAAAAAAAAACACACGCGCTCTGTGGCTGTGTCTCCAGTATACAGAAAAATGTCTTCTGTCTTCAAGGGATTTTTTTTCAAAGGGCTGTGTGAGCTGCAGTGTGCTTGACTTGTTAAATGAGGTTTAAGTCTTCTGTGTCAATTGGAGGCGGTGCAGAGCTTTAAGTATTTTGCACATTAATGCGCTTTTGAGAATATTACCCCAGGGTCCTGTTTCTCAAGAAGGCAGGGGTGGGATGTTTTCTAGTGTTGCTATTGTAAACTTTTTGTTGTGTGTGTTCTGCACATCTCTGTTGTTGAGAGAAAATGATGGTGATTATTCAGATTTCATGCCTTGTCTGGGTGTTAATTATTTACTCTGGGCATGAAATTTGCGTGAATGCCAGGGATTTGTGTATACAAACACGCTTCAGATCACAGGGAAAATGGGAGGAAGAGAAGGAGGTGGCGGGGAGAGGGGGGGAGGCAAGAGCTCTCAGTGCATTACCCTGTAGTGGAATATTTTCTAATTAATACTCGGCTTTGTTTACAGACGCTTTGATTTAATTAAGTGATGAAGAAGAGAGTTGGATTAGCTGTTAATTGATTTAATTATCCAATTTGTTTGTCTCAGGCATGATTCCAGCAGAGCTGCAGCAACTGTGGAAGGAGGTGACAAACGCTCACGTGAAGGAGGAGCACAACAACAGCAGCAACAACGGCCACCGGGGCCTCGACCTGTCCTCCCCGGCACCGCCAAAGAACCCACTTCTCAACCAGCACGCCTCCACCAACGGGCAGTACATGAGTCACAAGAGAGAAGGGTGAGTCCCTCCACCTGCAAGGACTTTTATATTTTTATTTGCATGTGTCTTACATCTTTTGCATGCCCTCACAATGAGAGCATGGGTCAGTGAAGACGTACAACCTCCAAATTATCAGACCTTTATACAGCAGTAGTTTTCCAAAACACTGCTCCTTAAGTCGTTTGTACCTACAACTGGTAATTAACCTGGTGAAACAGGCTCCACTGTCATCTAAGTCCAAAGCAAACAGATGTGCCATATACTCCCGTTTAAAATAGCTATTTCTCACAGGGCCTCAGTGGATGGACACATCCCCAAAGGTCTGCACAGATTACTATTAATTTATACTTTGTAAATATTATTTTCATTAAGGCCAACACAGTCACTTTTCTGTGTTGCTTGATGCAGCTGTGGATTTCATGGGAACACCTGGAAGGAACGCAGGGATTTGGAGAAATGTGCATGCAGTTGCCATACTATTAATGACGGGGCCAGGAGCATTGACCCGTCCTGCTATTGTTTCAGTTGAAGTGCAGCTGTGACCTAAGTTTCATGTCCCTGAGAATTTTCCTTTGGTTTACCAGCATCTTTTCAGAAAAGAAAAACATTTCCTTGTGTACTGGGAACTTGTTGACATGTTCAATCAGCCTGTCAGTTCAAGAGTAATAAAAAGAAAAACATAGCAAAAACAACAAGCTATTATATGCTAAAACAAAACAAACACTGGGTGCATCATATGATATGTGCAACATGAATCATCTATGAAAGGCGTTTGCTCTCCGAGCTGTGTGTGTGTGTCTTTAAGGAAGGAATTAATTTGGCATCTTACACATTTGCTTGTTTTCTTGCACCAAAGCCTGATCTTTGAACTGCTAGTGAGGAGCCTCCAGGCACCATGAGCTCACTGCATAACATCTGACTTGTGTTTCAGTGATCAAAACCTACGCGTCATTATGAAAGCAATGCGGATGAAAACATGTTTAGCACTGTAAACCAGCAGGCCTTTGGAGGTGAAGAGGGGCTGGTAGCGGGGGGGGGGCAACTGGTAAATCCTTTAGAAAGGATTTGAGTGACACCGAGAGGAAATGCTGTGATTCACTGATGGAGCGATACAAACAGAAAGCAGCTATTTCTTTTCAACTATCAGTTTTAAATAGATTGATGACATAGTACCTGTACAGACTCATCCTCTTTACTGTGTTTTAAAGTTATCTTCCAGCACAGACACTGGGGGAAAAATAAAATAAAAAATGGGCATTAGCTGCTCCCACAGTTGACAGTATCCACAGGCTTCCAGTTCTTCACCCAGCGTCTGGCTGAATGTCTGGGTTTTTTGTGCAGCTAAAGACAAATTGCAGGGGAGGATATTGACTCGCTCACTCCATCACACATTGTCGCAGGCGAGCAAACAAGGTGAGCATCGATGGCAGGGAAAGGCAAGATCCAGCCTCGGCTGAGGGCTCCATGAAACATCGGAGAAGACATAACGCAAGAGCTGGCAGCCCCCTCTGCCTCACGCTGACTGTCAGAGATTAAAGAGGATGTCAACAGCAGTTTAACACAAGCTTAAGTGAAGAAGGCAGCCTCACTCTGAATATTCTCGCAGTATCTTAGATCTGTCAGAAAACCGAGCAGGTGATTCTCATCCACCACATCTGCTTACAGGAAGTCATGGATTACCTACCCAGAGTTTCAAACGTGTAATTACTAAGAACAGACGACTGATACAAAATGAGCACAAACATCCTTTATTAAATGCAGAATGATGCAACTTTAAATTCACGCGACCAATAATCCTTTCTTGTGTTAATTTTGGAACGCTTAAATTGCACAACTATCAAGAGCATTATTCCTCTCTTTTGAAGATGCGGACTCAATTCTAATCAGACTCCATGGGAAGAAAAATGAAATATTATTAAGTATGATTATTCTAAGCAAGGCTCTGAGAAAACGTCTGTGTTATAATCCAGGGATTTGAATAATCAGGTTGAAGATAATGGGCTGGGCCGGCCTAGGCGTAAATAGAGAGCATCCACTCATCCTCCCAGTGCTGAACTTAATGAACTTTTAATTGATGCGGTTTTGCAAGTCCTTTTGTCATGCAACAGAAACAAGCCTCTGCTGATGGGCCTGTTTTCCCGACTGGCTTCAGATTGGTTTACAGTAGGCCCTAAGTACCATGTAGTTAGTTTCATGTGTCATATAAAATCTGCCCAGGCACAACGACGCCTGCAACTAAAACCTTAAGTGCATCCACAGGAATCACTCACTGGCTTTGCACTTCCGTCTTAAGGAAGGAGGAGAAATTCAATCACTGCCGGTTTGACACACCAAAGACGAGGCACGTGTTCCTGCTTTTAGTTGTCTCAAAGAACACTCTGGCAGGGCGGGCTGGGGTTTCTGTTTGTCTGAACAACATCCCTGATATGACCAGGGCCTGAGTCACTCAATCTGTCAGTGCACGTTGTTTCCCAGCCCACGAACTGTGATGCATAGATAGAGATATACCCATGTGAGCCAGGTCATCTTTATTCAATGATTTGCTTATTTAAATGAAATGTGCCTGATCTGTATCTGACACAAATTCCCAATACAGTGCTGCATCAGTTTTGTAAGGGGGAGCATCCACACACAAAGCACTTGGCCCACTTTACTTCCCAACAACCATCAGTAACCACAGCTCGGGGACTGTAACACAGCAATCTGTTAAAGAGATAAATAATCAGATTTGGCACAGCACTCCCATCTCTCTCTTGCCTTTCATTTGTCTTACACCAGAAAAAAATGGTAATTAAATCATTTAGTTTAAGGCATGCAGTGGCACAGAGAAGACGGTAGGAGAGGATAAAGTGTAGGGCCTAGAGAGTAAAAAAAAAAAGGGGGGGGGGGCATAGGGGAATAGGCTAACATCAGCACCAGCGATGAAGGAGAGTGTTGTGACTGGTTTCACAGACTCTGACCTATAGCATGGCGGACATCAATCTTCCCACTTTTTGCTGATAGATTGAGTCCATCAGCACACGATGCCATAGGTCATGACTTGTTTATGGCCCAAAGCATCTCATCAAAAGAAGTGAACTAGAAAACAACTGGCTACCAGCTGTTGAAGCCATCTTTGTGTGCGGTTCCTCCTGTCTGTCTACACATAAACACAGCGCAACACCTGGAAGGTTCGCACATTTTCTGTCTGGGTCTATAGGCACTTTAATGTTCTTTCTCCTCTAAAGGAAGCTGATGACACGGTTTTCCTCGTCGCTGTTACAAGATCATTAGAGTGTTCTTCCCCCGGGCTGCCTGACAATAATAACATCCTGACAGACCTGTCGTGGGTGCAAGAGTCAAATTTAACACAACGCAGGGAGCTGCTGAGCTTTTTTTTTTTTTTTTTCTCCTGAACATATTCTCAAATGGGAAAAAACCCCATGAATCCTACACTCTTCTCCTATTACACTAATGTAGCTCATTTGGTGTAAATTCTGTCATTTACTACTGTTTAGCTATCCACCGTTTAAAAGGGCTCTTCTGCCGCCAGCCCCTCACCGCGCTTTGTGCTCACTGATTCCCAGCGCACTCCACATTTCAATATCTTATTAATACAGAATTAACCAACAAGCCCGCTCGCAAAGAATTAAAAAAGGATCTCTTTAAATTAAAAACCAGCGTTACCTTCACCAGTCCACACATTTCCTTGTTAAAAACTCATTATTATAGGTCTTCCGCCATCTATTTATTAGCTGTATCAAAACAGAGGTCTTAATGTGAATGCATAATTCATAATTGAATAAAAAAAATTCTGACTTTAAAAAGAGGGAGAAAAAAAGCTGCTAACCACATTCATGAATGCTTGACTGCTTCCTAATTGCAATGCAATTATCACATGTTATGAACAATGTGAACTCTTAAGCAAGTAATTATAACACAAGGAAACCTGTGACGACCTTTAAAATTTCCTACTTGAGGTACAGTTTTACTAACATTGATACAAATGAGATTTTAATCTGAACATTAGTTTGTTTAATCCTGTAAAATTGGCACACCACGGTTAGATTACTTTCTTTTTTACTAATTCATTTTACATTCACTTTTAAATCCTGGCAGATGGATGATTGGCTAAGCAACGCAAGATTTTATTATTTTCTGTATTTATTTTTCCTCTATCCTTCAAGACATCCCCTGAAGTGGTAGCATTAGACATTATCTCTTATTGAATCTATGTATATGAATGAGATTTTAGTGGCTGGAGTTATTCCCACATGGCAACACAACAGTTTGTGGTGTAATGAATCTCCCTATCCGGCCTGCTGTCTTAAAGCAGGGCTCAGACTGGAAGAGAAGCAGCAGCGCTGCGCTCACGAGCCACCAGCAGCACAGGTGGTAGCGATATAGGCCAGTCCCCCAGGCTCTTGTAGCTGAAAGTTGTGTGTCTTGTATAGTGCCTGTGTCCATATGGCTGCCTGTCTAGCTCTTTTCGCAGACGCTGCCTCCACACAGGCCGCTTTCTCTCAGCCTGATTGTGGTTAGCTGTGGTTGCGCGCCTCTCGCCATATGGAAGATGTTGTAAAGTTTGTTTTTCAGGGATGTTCCCGCTATTTAGACTGATTGTACGAAGCCACGCGCTCCCCATAGATGCGTGCTTGTCAGCCCCTGGTGACATGGATTGGTCAGTAGATAAATTGATACCAGGCGGGGATGTTTACAGTCTGTGCACGGTGTGAAAGTGCCTGATGCTTTCGGGAGTTTCATGTTGTGGAACAGACTGCTCCAGGTGGGCTCTGGGACATGAGGCAGCGGGCAGCGACTGGGGGAGCCCCCTTGCAGTCTTGATCAAAGTGAATTACAACATGGCTCAGTGATACTAAATAATTACATATTGATTTGGTTGTGCCATCACAACACGAGTCCCCTCTTTTAAGAGAAGAGCAAGCAGAGATCACACAGGTACACTGATTCCATACAGGCCAAGGCTCGCAGATCAAGTAGAAGTCAACCTTTTCTTCAGGTGAAGCAGTACACACAGGGAGCTGCTGACCTTAGGCATCGGCTTAACCATCGACGCCGTCGTCCCTGACCTCTTGCCTCATGTTATGTGACCACAGGCCTGTAACTCTTTGTTTTTCAGAAAAGTTGTGATCCGTGTTTATTGATAACTGTCTCTCCTTGTGTGAATTTCTCCTCCAGATCCACACTAGAAGAGCATTCCCCCCACAGTCATCCTCTCTATGGTCATGGTGTTTGCAAGTGGCCTGGATGTGAGGCAGTGTTTGATGATTTCCAGTCATTCCTCAAGTAAGTAAAAGTCATAGTCAGAGGTACGCTTCTATCGCACTTTGTGTGTCCTCGCGTTGGGTCGATTACACGTTTCATGACCCCCAGCAACTCAGAGGCACTACAGGTGCAGCTGGTTGTTATCCCTGAGTGTCGATGCCTGGGTTGGCCCTCTTTTGACAAGGGTACTGTGGTGGGGTCTCCTTCTGAGAACTGCATGGGCCTCTAATTCCTGTGATAAGTACAGTTCCCATGGTGACGGGGGCCGTTTTTCCCAAACAAACAACGGTAGGATGTTTATCTGTGGCAGCCCACACTTAGGGCGCTCTGCATGTTTGCCCTTGTCACTGGACAGAAGGATTGGTGTGTGTGTGTGTCTCTGACTGCCTTGCTCAGCTTTTTCTATCTTTCTGTTAGTTGTTTTTCAGTTTTTACTGCTCCTCTCTCTCGTTTACTTCTTTGACTTGTTTTTTTTTTTTTTTGCTTTTACCACAGCACTATGTAAAAGTCATCCATGTATACAGTAGACTCAGACAGCTGCAGCTACGACCGCCTCACCCGCTGTGCAGCATCTTTCCAGTGTGAACAGGTTTCACTCTGTCCAGCCTGACACAGGCCTTTGTTTTGCACCACGATTCGATGTCTGAGTCAGACCCCTGGTTTACTAATCAAGCCGGTGTGCAGCACACTCTAGGTAATCCAACACATAACAGCGCCATGGTTACGGGGAGGATGAAAACATCTGCGTCGTGGCAGTAGATCAATGGCTCACTGTCACCCCAGATTAGTCGCACTTTAAACAAGATATGACACAATTCCATTATCCTAAAACAAGCACTCAGCGAACACACGGTTTCCTCACAGACGCAGGAGAGAAAGGTGCTGCAGAGGGGACGCCTCGCAGGCTGCTGAAAGTTTTCACCGTCTTTGTCAACATTTTGAATCCGCTTTTGATCATTTGTATAAATCCACTTTGAGCGCAGTTTGCATTTGAGAAGCTTATCATACTGGATTGTACAGTACAGTCTCTGTATAAGATGAAAGAGAGGCAGTTACTTATTTTGATTTTAATTTAATAAACATCCTGTTGAGAGTGAGTTATTAACCCACGTATTACACACACACACACACACTCACACTCACAGACTCGCATATTTCAGCTTTGGGAGTGACCCCTTAAATCCATCACTATTTATTGTATTCTGACATTGCCTCACCCTTTGTTTATAGAAGAGAGGGGAATTAAATTCAGTGCGCCTGGTAGAGCTCTGCCTGAAAAAGTCTCCAAGTGCACTCTGCTATGTTTTTACAAGTGTTTTTATCATGGCAACATCTTGTTTACTTTAGTTGCCTGCTCAAACTGCTTGGAACATGTTAAGAAAACATTTGGGGAGAGTCTCCACAAAGCTGCCTTTGTTTAACAGCAGGCAAGACTGCGAGCAGCTCACCAAGGTGTTAACTCTCAAACCCTTAAGCACTTCCACATGAAACCCAGCAACCGATACTGCAGGCCTCCAAAAAGAATCAAAAATATAAACAAAGAGCACATCAGACGTTATAAAGCTCTCACAAAAGTCTCCTAAGGTTGAGAGAAATGTTGAAAATATAAGTGTGTGCGTGTGTATGTGTGTCTGGTGAGTGTGTAGTCAGCAGAACACGGTGTACTGTGTACCAGAGAGAAAGAAAGGTGAGGAGGACTCTAACATCAACCAGATTTCAGCTCCACATGCCAACAGTAACAACCAACACAGGACTGAAATGTTGTTTTAAACTGTGTGTGTATTTATTCTATCTTTTAAAGAAAACATTACATACCTATGTGCACTATCTTGATAAATACAAAGCACCAAATCCCTGTTCCTGTTTTCGGGATCAGTGCGCAGAAGGGTGTGGTTGGGTTCATAGCAGCCTGGTGTTTTTATGGGGGTCAAGACCCCTCTCTTCAGTGTCCAGTCAGAGGTCAGAGCCAGTGAAACACTGCAGTGCCCTCTAGTGCTGCTCTAAACCACAAAAACCTCCCTCTCGCACCTCAGCACCTTGTAGTAATTGGTTTGTAAGTTATGCAGCCCTGTACCGCCGCAAACACACAAACACACACACAAATAAGACAAACATAAAACACTATAAAAAATAAAATAAAAATACATTTTCTATTAAATTGAAAAAAAAAAATGGAATCTGTAAAGTGTAAAAAATAAAAGTCATCACTATTTTTTTTAAACATAAATTTTCAAAGCATTTTTAAATGTAAATACTACTGTACAGATGTGTACATTTAATTTGAAATTCCACCAGGGAGTCAAGAAGATAAACCTTCCTCAGAGACAGCCTTAAGCTCTGGGTTCAGTCTATATAATTAGAAATTGTAAAGAAAGAAAAAAAAAAAAAAAGAAAGACGGTTGGCAAACTAACTGATATGTAAAAAGCCGACTGTTACAGGGATGTCTGTTTAACTTGTTTTATTGTGGCAATTTACATTACGGACGATCATCCTGCCAGAGAGCTTTTAAAAGTGGCTTCATTTGAAGTCCAGAAAGTGACACATGCCAACGTTCATAGTCTCTCTCGATGTCAATTCCCCGTATCCCCTGCTCCCGTGTCCAGACACTCCTCTCAAGGCTGCATTAGGGCCATTTGAATATTTCATTTCCTATTAATTATGCACTGTGACTCTCCATGTCATTAGAAGAAATAAAGTGGAATGTAACAAAGGATGAAAAGAAGCAGGGCACATGTCTCCTATGAACAGAGAAATTCCAAAGCTGCTCACGTAGACCACCCTTCATTGAAAATTCAGTCTGTGCCAGTTAAATTGAAGCTGAAACGTCTTTACCTATTATTTTCTTCTTTCAAATTTAGTAAGATGTCCTGAAATGTTTACCAGTTTCATTTTCCGAGCTACTTAATTAAATGGGCATTTATTTGACTCAAGCAAATGGAAAGCCTAGAGAAGTCTGAATTGATTTCAGCAGAGGGAGGTTATTGCCCACGCTTTCTTTAAATATGCCTTTTTAATTTCTTTTTCGCCACAATAATTAACATCTAAGGGCTGAATGTATATCACGGTCATTTTGGAGAAATGTATTATCAAAACACAAAAGGAGGACCCGCAGGTGGGAAGAGACCACGTTCCCCGTAAAGATTTAAATCGTTCACCTCCAAGGTTGAAAACGCCGCAGCTGAAGACAAACCTTCACCATTTCAAGCAGAGAACTATCAATTTTCCTCCCCCCCCCCTCACATGTGTCTGTTTTCTGAGTGTATGTGTGGCGTTTAATGCACAAATGTGTTGTCTGTACATAAAGCAGTGGCGTCAAATTTATTGGGCCATCATAACGCCAGCGCTGCCACTGCGCCTTCACAGGTTGACTCTGGCTATTTTTGATTTGCAGTAAATGACAGAAAAAGTGCATTTGAAAAGGCAGACGCGTTACACACCTCTCTGCCGTCTGCCGGCGCCAGCCTGGTGACAGTGACCTACATGGTCACCGAAGATGTGATATAATTTATGATATATATAATATATTGGATCCATTAGCGAGCATAATGAAGTAGTGAAATGAAAGGGTATTTGTGAAATCAGTTCAAACATCCTGCTCGGATTATGATTAAATGATTAATGAAATGCCCCTGCATAAGCATTTTCAAACAGTAATTCATGCGGCGGCTGATAAAATTCCTCCAATCATATTTCCTTCACTCGTGAACCTTATCTCCACCATTTTATATAAATCACAGGAAAAAAAAAAAAAAAAAAAAAACCTGCCTGCTGCCCGGCAAGCTACTTATTTAGATTAGTTATAAATGTACAGGAAAAGAGAACATCTTCCCAGTATAAAATAATCACGCATAATTATATCCATAATTCAAGTTTGTGACAGATCCCATCTCCTCGTCCTGTTGTCCTCTGCATTTGGCTTCATGACTTTAATTTGAACGACAAATTAACACAAAAAAACACGACCCGAAAGGACAAATTCAACCTGAAGAAAATGACATCAGGGAGCTGCTGCATAATTTAGCAAAGGACTCCAACCTGAAATTCTTGAATGATTCTTCTTATCTGTGAGCTGTAGTAGGAGCAGACATGACTGCCATGAAATATTGAGTGTCATTCTCGTATGTAAAAAGAAGTGTTTCCTCTGGTCCTGCAGCCATCGTGTGTGTAATCTTTTGCAACCCGCTGTTTGTTTTATGTTGAAGCTCTGCATAATATTTACCTAAACGTTACCACATATTCTCTGTGCATTGTGCCTCAATTACCAGGTTGCGTCATTGAGCCAGACATCACAGGACTTTTCGTTTCTCACATCTGAAAGGCTACAGACGGTCGACGTGAAACTGACATCAGTTTTTTGTGTGTTCTCTGTTTTTTGTTTCGCAGGCATCTTAACAATGAGCACGCCCTGGATGACAGGAGCACGGCCCAGTGTCGGGTGCAAATGCAGGTCGTACAACAGCTGGAGCTGCAGGTATTGTCTCCGGGTTTGTTTTGGCCCAAATATTTATGTGTCGTCTTTTCCTGACACTTCCTCAGTGTCTGCTCGAACCCCTCCCTCGTCCGCTTGATATCAGCCATGGGGTCACTCATGGAGGGTGGGGGGGGGCGGGGGGGGCAGAAGAATGAAATAATTTTGTACGTTTGCAAGTTAACCAGTCATTAAAAATGTGTTATGTATGCAGCCCGGAAAAGATATATGAAGGACCCGGGGCTAAGTAGGGAAGATAATTACATTTTGAATTTTACTGGGGTTTAAAGTTATTTATGACTTTTAACTGTTTGGCACCAACAATAAAACACCCGGTGGAATGAAATGACTGTGTGTGCAGCAGTAGTGTGGAGAGATGCTCAGTGTTGAGTGAGTTAAAGGAACAGAAAGGTTATTGTAGCCCACGACACAAAACTGTTGATGCAGTAATCAATGGTTTTATTACTTTGTCCCTTACAATTGGTCTTGAATGGTCTTTTTCTGTGAGAAATGTGTGTGTACATTAAAAAATGCACTTATGGGAAAAAGGTTCACCGTCATTCCATTAGAGAGGCTTTATAATGGCCACTGAGTCATATGTGTGTCTCTGTAATGGTGAATATGACCACTATGCTAATGTAAGACTGCACTTATTTATTGGTATTACAGGGAAAAGTAAATCCAACCATTTCATTAAACTGTATTTTTATTAATTAGTGGCGGCTACAGTTGCAAAGTAAATACAGCGAGGGCTGTATGTAATGTCTTCCAGATTTCATGCAATATTCGCTTGTGTTTAGCCACATAATACCCAAAAATGACTGATAATGACTGTAAAACAGTTGTGGTTTACAGAAGGTTAACCTTAAACAATGAGAGTTCAGTTTCTCAAACATTACACCAGACCAACGTCCTGTTATTTCCGCTCTGCTGGTGTATTATCCACAGGGATAGAGTGAAGGTTTATCAGAGACAGACTTCCTCTGCATGCAGCCTATCACCATAATTCAAGCTGGCAGCTAACACAGCGCTGAGTTTCAGACAGGTAGAGAGGGCCTGGGCTTGTTATTGGCAATGAGACACAGTAGACTTTAACCTTGAATTGGAGACAGTAGTTAGATTCTCTTGAAGTGCAGAGGTGTTAACAGAAGCATTTTAAAAACAAATAATTAGACGGACGATTTGTTCGAACACGCTCGTCGTGAGAGATGACATCACTGCAGAGGGATGTATGGAATTAATAAAAACACAGATAAAGATTTTGCTCATTAAAAATGTAACATGCTCCTTTTTACCTCATTACAGCTAGCGAAAGACAAAGAGCGTCTGCAAGCTATGATGACGCACCTTCATGTCAAGTCCACGGAGCCCAAAGCCACCCCACAGCCGGTGAGCAGCAACCCTGTCATACATCTCTCTCTTGTCCCTCCCCCATCCTTTTGTTTGTCTTAATTGGCACACATGTATTCATTAATCCCTTCCTCCATCTTCTTATTTATCCGCTAAATAAAAACAGCTGTTCTCTTGAGTGAGGCAGTAAATATTGTTTGGACCACATCTGCTGACATCCGAGATTCAGTTTAGTGTCTGTGATGAACTGGATGCACTGCTCTGTAGCAGCTTCAGAGAGGCAGCGCCTGTTTGGACAGAGAGAAAAGATGAGAACGCACCGGAAAATAGAAATAGTAATAAAAGATAACAGATTATATTTTACAAATAGATGCAACATGATTTTTAGTGCTTTTAAAAGCAAAGGGAAAAAATACTTTCCTGCCAGTTAACATATATATAAAAAGAAACATTTATTAAATGCCAAACAAACAATACGTATGTTGAATAATCAAAAAATAAGAAAAAATATCGCTAAAGTGGAACAATGCTACAACTGAATATAACCATTAAAATTATAATATTTCCAACGGGCTGAACATAAGATATTATTGATAGATTGATACGTAGATATAAGATATTGCTTAGTGATGTTGCTAGCTGAGGTTAGTATAGGTGGTAGTAGCACCTGCTGATTTTGATTTTTGATATTGATTTTGTTTGAACACAGACGCTTGTCCCTGGAGACATTTCAACCCCTCATTTGAAAAAGTTATCATGAATTACCCTCCGTGATTTGACCTTTGTAATTGGTCAAATCAGATCTGAATGGAATCTTGGGGTCAAAGTTAATAGAAAGATCTCGACAGCATTTTTCACTTTAGTTTTTTAATTTTAACTTGAATGTTATTTAAATTGAGTTTGGCATGGAAGTCAGATTGCACTGTTACTGTTGTTACTGGACTGTGAACAAAGGTAATTTTACAGAAATTAAAATCTTGCAGGATGTGAAAGGAGACGCAAATGCTTGGAGTATATGTGGTTTACTGGTGATTCGCCAAAATCTGCTGGAGGTTAGACACTGAAATCCTTAATAAATGTAACAGCAAATCAATGTATTATCTTTGTGACACATTCCAAACATCATGCTTATCACTCTTAATATATGCCATGCTCTAAAGCCCACTGCTTAATCCCTTTCCTATAGGGGCAGGGGCTTAACATATGGCATTTAAGTGTCTGCGCTATTTTGTCTTGTTTAAGAAGGGGCCTCACGACCATAATTCAATCTGTATGACAGTTCATTCAGAGAGCCAAATGTGTAAAGATCATTTCACTGCAGGGTGTGAATCTGAAATCACACACCCGGACGCACAATATACATGCAGGCGTCCTGTCTCTGAAAACTCTGTGCAGCTTGGATCATTTATTTACACTCAGAGAGGTGGCTATTGACGTGCGGAGGCTGCATGTGCGCTCCACACAGCGCAGCCAGTCAACATAAAGCGCCTGGAGATGTTGAACGACAATAGGCTGTCTGTTAAAGCTGCGCCTGTGTCACACACACTGATTGTGTAGATTAGAGTGCAAAACGAGGGCTCTGACACAGGGACATTTGTATATGAAAAGTGGTAGGGGCGGCAGATAGCATCTTGAGTTCGCTACCTCTCCTCTCTCCCCGGGGCCTGAGAGAATAGCTGTGTCAGAGCTCAGCGTTAACACTCTCAAGGGGGCGAGCTGGGATTTTTATTCAAATAAATAGACTCCCATTCTCCAGCACCGCTTTTCCTGCTGGGAGCTGCTATGAAATGCTATGATAAATATGTCTGGCTTCGGCTGGGTGAGTGGTGGCCTTACACAGGTCAGGGCCAGCGGCCCCACTCAGGCTTTAGTAAGATTGCAGCATCAGAGGTGGCCACCAAAATAAAAAAAATAAACCCTCCTCAGAGAAGATGCTGGATGAAAGTATTCTCAGAGCTGACTGCAGATAGAGACACTCTGAAGTAACAATTGTGTTCTTGCAGTAATTACTAGTTCTGTTTTTGTGCTGTTCTGTGCTGTTGCATATAATAAAGGCATGTTTAAGTAGCCAGCTGTCATAGCAAAGCATCTCAGATGAGTTTGCTGGTTTACATTTAGTTATAATTAAAGACAAACAAACTGATACTGTGCATGCACAACGTCAAATGAATAGGATTCATTTTATTATTCTGAGGTGGATGGGGGCGGGGGGGGGATCAAAACAAAATGTGCCACATTAGCAGTGTGTGTCTCTGTGTGTGTGGTTGCGCCTGTGTGTGTGTTTGTGTTTGCCTCTGTGTGTGTGGGTGGGTGTCTGCACTCGGTGTCACTAAGCATTCTTGTCAGAAATCTGACCTTTTACGCCATACATAATTAAGGAGGGACTTTTTGTTTATTTTCTTTAGCAGCTTGCCGAGTCAAAGCCAGTATAATTAGATCACCAATTACCATTTAATTAATTTCAGTCTGAAGTCTCATTTTGTCTAGGCACTGGAGTGAGCCCAAATGGTGAGGCAAACAAAGGCAAGGCTATTACCAGCCTGTCTGGCCTATTGTTGAAGCCTCTCTGTGTTTATGGCCAGGGAATATGGATGAAACATGAAACAAAGCCTGCTAATCCACAGGAAGAGAAGTCAACACCACAGCCCCATTCTATTGATAGCATTGTGTCAGAAACACGCAAACCCAAGTGTGATTTATTTTGTTCATGATTTAGAATAACACATCTTCTGCTGCTACTGTTGGTGAGGATGTAGTGTGCACTTGTGCATCCCAGCAATAATCCAAATTATTTGGGCAGACTCGGCCAAAAAGGCAGAGTTCAGCCTCCAAGACATAAATAGACATTGTGAGGACTTGGACACATGTCTGTTAAAATGGGAGAGTCAGAAAACACAAAGCAGAGCGGTTTACAGCTTAATAATCAATGAATGTCTCTTTTTTTTTTTATACAATAAGAATATGTGTAAAATAAAATAAAATAAAATAATGGACGTGTCAGTCTTAGATGTCTTTATTATACCTGTTGGTGATGAGTGGTAATTTGGTAGTCCTGCATTTTTGTGTAGAGTCAGATGTTAAAAACCACCATCACCTTCCCGACATCTGATCCCTTGTAACCAACAACTGATGTCAGCAATGAGACGCGTCCTCCCCTTCTCCAGCTCTTTATTTCTCTCTCTCTGTTTTTTTTTTTTTTTCCTTTTTCTTTTTCTCACAGTCTGAAGTCATGTTTAATTTGGAAACTGGCCTCCTTCGGCAAATTAGCAATTAGAACAATTTTGTGGGAATATGTATATGTGTCATTAGTTTTCCTGCCAATTAATAGCTGGAGCAGGGGGTCAGGCTAGAATTTTCCACTTGACTGCTGCTTCAGTACGGAGGCTTGGCACTTGGCTCGGAGCCGCCACAGCTGCTGGAAGCCATGCTATACCTTTGGAGCACTTGCCATAATTAGTTTACCTTGTAGCCATTATTACTTAAATCCCTCCTTCTCCTCAGCCCACCCATCCCATCCACACACACAGGCCTCAGTGGTGAAACCAAATATTCTCTGCACACCGCTGTCCATGAAAATGCCATCTTTACTGCGGCCATCATGGCCCTGATGATGGAGGTCAGTCATATACAGTAGTTAATCATCAGATCACCTCTGTAAGCAGCTCCTAATTAGAGTCCTCATTATAAAATTTCAGCTTGTAATTAGCCCAGATTGGCTTCTTCCTCTGGCTGCCTTATTAGCAGGGCTGCTCAGCGGTTGGTGAGAATCACACTGTCATTTTTCAGAGCTGTTCGGGCCGCCCATCTTCCCTTCACTACTCAACCCTCACCGGTTACCACGCTGCAGAGGCCACAAGTGGGGGGAATTGATAAGGTGGGGTGGGGGGGGGGGGGGGGGGGTGTTGTCCAAACGGGACAAAAGATTAAACAAAGGCGGCGAAACAGAAAGCTGGGAACGGGCCTGACACGGCAGCAAGAGGGAGGGAGGGAGGGAGGAGTGTGAAGAATGGAGGAGGTGGAGAGCGGAGGAGTGGGGCTCCAGGGTTGTTTTCCAAACATTTAGCAAACGTTCATGGATCATCTCAGGTCCCGCCTGCAATTAGAGAAGAGATATGCATAGTCAATGAGGTGTCTGAGACACAGGGGTAATTAGCGGACTAACTGAGCTCCTGTCTGTCTGTGTGTCTCTGTTTGTTCGGCCCTGGTCTGACTTCCTCTCCTCAGCTCAACCTGGTGTCCAACGTCACATTGTCTAAGTCGGCCCCAGAGGCCTCTCCTCCTCTGAGCCTGCCCCAGACCCCCACCACACCGACAGCACCCCTCACACCGCTATCCCAGACCCACTCCGTCATCACAGCCAACAGCCTCCACAGCGTGGGCCCCATGCGACGGCGCTACTCTGAAAAGTACAACATGCCCATCTCTCCAGGTACTGCAGGAAGCACACACACAGTCACACTCATCTGTCCTGCTTAATAACCACATAACCACACATGCTGCATCTGTATATACACACACAGCCACGTAATCATGCTATAATTTGCGTTATCAGCCTCTAATTGGACATTGCTGTTGACTCCTGATCATTTTATTCCATGTTGACACAGTGTGTGTTTGTTTCCTGTGTGCAGATATCAGTCAGAACAAAGAGTTTTACATGAATGCAGATGTTAGACCGCCATTCACGTACGCCTCACTAATAAGACAGGTAAGGACTCTGCTTGAACTTTTAATCTATTTGATTTGGAAAGTAGCCGGCAGAGATACAGCTGCTGCACATTCTGCTATTCGGAAGGTCACAAACTACTTTTTGTCCGTCTTCTCTCTCTCTCTCTCGCTCTCTCTGTCTTCGCTTCTTGTTAAAAATTTTTGAACACAATTTAAACTGAGGGGCAGATTAACCGTCTTCAAATGAGTGCAAGAATGCGTACGGGATTCAAAAAACAGCCACATATGACAATTGCATTTGATTAAGCATTTCAGTGGCTGTGATTATTACCAAATTCATTTCACACAACAGTAGGGATGAACCTGTTTTAAGATGGCCAGTCAATTATCGCTCGGCCGTAGTAATCTGGGATCTCAGGAATTAATCTGAGCCGGCCATAATTGCTGCCCTGTAATCTGCCTGAGAAATGTTTTCGCTTGCCCTTCATTTACACCCACAAAAGGAAATATATTCAAATCTGCCGTTTTTGAATAGAAAGTGCAGAAGACTTCTATAAACACAGTGCACTTTTTACATAGACAGTTTCTTAGCTGTTGTCTGTGTTTTCCTCAAGAGAACACACAAACCCGCATGCCTCTGGTGAATTATTGATCATTTTGTGAAGGAAGCAAAATTGTAAATGTTTGTTTCTGTCACTGTTCCTCATCCAGGCGATCCTCGAATCTCCAGAAAAGCAGCTAACACTAAACGAAATCTACAACTGGTTCACACGAATGTTTGCATATTTTAGGCGCAACGCAGCAACGTGGAAGGTAATTCTGCTGTTCCTCCTGACTCTTTCAGACCAGCACCAGAGAAGAAGGAGACATTGTGTTGATGTTAGGCAGAATTAAATGATAGCCAGGCATAATACCTTCAGAAATGAACCTTTACACAAATACATAACAATCCCCCACTTATTCTGTCCAAATGAACCACCCTTTAAACAAACACACGAACCACACAGAGAAACCAAGCATATGTGCATTCTTGTAAAGAAGAGAACGAAATAGAAAGGGTGGGTGGCATTAGTTTAACATAGCAGTGCTCTGCCAGTGACTCCTGGCTGAGTCCCTCACACTCACTTCAGAAGGGAACACTCTGTTTTCTACCAGGCCACAAACACACACACACACACACACACACTCACACACACACACACACAAACACACGCATGCATGCACAAAATGAAAACAAAACATTAGCCTTAAAAACGAAATGACTGGAGTCAGAGAAAGTGAGATTTTAATGGGAAAGACAGTGATGAAAGCCCCTTCTAAACCTTAGCTGATCCCCCCCACACACACACACACACACACCCTGCACCACCCCCATTCTCCATGAGCTCCCACACTTACTGACAGCCCTTCCATAGGGGCACATTGGTGTTATAAACACTGGATTCCACAACTCTCTTTCCACTCACACATACACATACATACACATACACACATGCACACACACACACACACACACTTACTGTATACACATGCGCTCAGTATAGCTATTGGAATAAAAAGGGGACGATGTATGCAGGTCTACTTTCATACCTAAATGATCTGGAGTGGACTTAAAAAAAAATATCAGGAATAAAATGTCAGTTTATAACATCTCACACTGTTCAGACTGTCTGAATGATAAGAAAAAAGTATGTCACTAACTCCATTGTCATGGAGACCAGTAAATATTTACGTGTTGTTTAAGTCATTTGAAACTCAAGGACCATTTACTGCCAATAACATTCTGGTTTATTTATTGTTTTCATTCAGGTTTCTTCCAGTGCCTGTCAAAATATTTCTTCTTTGAAATGAAATTCTTCCCATGCAGACATGTTTACTGTACTGATAGCAACCTTTTTCTTCTCTCTTTGTCTTTGCACCAACTGCAGAATGCAGTCCGGCATAATCTTAGTCTTCACAAGTGTTTTGTGCGAGTAGAAAACGTAAAAGGGGCTGTGTGGACAGTCGACGAAATAGAGTTCCAAAAGAGACGGCCTCAAAAGATCAGTGGGTAGGTTCGGCCTTTTGAGCTTCGACTAGCGTCTGTCTCACCGTTGACTGATGGGAAGAGGCTGCTGCTGCTGCTGCTGCTCCATCTCATTGTCTGTCTGCCATAACGTCCAAAGTCCCCGCTTGCTTTGGCGTGCCTCCCCTTCATGCTTTCAGAAGCCTTTTGGTGATGCTTCATAACCCACAGTGGCTTATTTTCATTTTGATCCTCACCCTCTCCCCTCGTCTGTCTGTCTGTCGTCTGTCTGTCTGTGTGTGTGTCCGTCCTCTGTCTCTCCTGTCGATCACTGCATCTGCATCTGCCCCCCCCTCCCCCTGCTGGTTTGCTTTCCCAGGGTGCCATTCGCACCAACCTTTCCCTGCATAAGTGCTTTGTGAGAGTAGAGGATGAGTTTGGGTCCTTTTGGACTGTTGATGATGACGAGTTTAAGCGCGGCCGCCACATACAGCGAGGCCGCCCTCGGAAATACGCCACTGATGAGAACTTTGATGAGCTGCTCGTACAGTAAGCACTTCCTCCTGCCCTGCAAAACCCCCTGAGGCCCCCCCCAACCTCACCTGCATGCTCCCCACCAGTGTTGCCATCATGCTTTTTGTGTTTAGCTCGCCATCCATCATGCTTTCACAAGATCTACCTCCATCAGCTTAGTCCTTCTTCCCATGAAAGTGGTGATAGTTGTGTGGTATTGTCAAGTGATTGAACATCTCAGAACTATTGCCTTAATCTCCACATTACTACACCAGTAAATGTATTTAGTTCTTATACAAAGTGCATTGATTTCTTTTTATGAAATAAGATACTGTAGCCGAGGAATGCATGCTAGGTGAGACACGAGTCTGTGGTTGTAATTCAATTTCTCTGTTTGCAGAAGTCCAGCCTTAGTGAAGAACATCCAGACCAGCTTGGGCTATGGTCCCACCCTCTCTGCTGCCTTCCAGGTAAAAATAAAATGTGACTTCATCCTGTAGCTGCCTCACTACCAACTTCGAAAGAGAAAAAATAAAAGTCTCTGTCCGTCTCATAAGCGCAGTCACCCAGTCGTTGTTTTGAGGGGATGTACTCGTATGAAAAGAGTGATGGGCAACTGAGAAAGTGCTGACAACTCTCTTCCGTTTCACATTTAATGCTTTGGGCTTCGCTTTTCAGGCTTCAATGGCAGAAAACAACATACCTCTATACACTACTGCTTCCATTGGAAGTCCCACCCTCAACTCCCTGGCTAACGCCATCCGTGAGGAGATGAATGGAGCAATGGACCATGGAAACAGCAACGGCAGTGACAGCAGCCCAGGACGCTCGCCCCTGCCAGCTATGTGAGTGGCACACACGCTTTCTATCTCCAACACAGTCTGTGTAAGAAAAGAGAATAAAAGGAAAGAGTTTCAACTCCACTGAGACAGTAATACTCTAAATAGATGTAGACAGCGCCCACCCAAAACGCACTAAAATTACCTAATGCATGGCATCAGATGAAATAGAAACAATGCCAGGGAGGACAATAAATAAAATGAAGAGGGATGATATTGGTGTGGTGTGTGGGGTCATGGCCAGAGCTGCGGCTGGCCTCCCTGCAGAAAAGGAAACTCCACCTTTTCGAAGCTTCCATCATCAGACCGTTCGGGAAGAAAAGACCGGAGCCCCTCTGTTATTTTAACAGCGAGTTTATGAACTCTCCTTTATGTGTCCTGCTGTCTGTCTCGGTCTCGCCATAATCAGCATTCCAATTTGTTAAAATATTTATAAAATGCCAGAACGTAGAGTGACAGAGCTGCTGGCTCCGACACGGTGCAACATGAGCTGCAACACATTCAGAAACGCCTCTGAGCCGCTGAAAGAAAAACAACACAAAAGCATAATTAGTCTGGAGGACATCATCCAAGATTCTCATGTAGGAAAGTTGCGGTCGGCCTGGAAACCGCAGCTCCCCGTTCACTTGTTGTATAGGAGTGTCTGCTAAGTTGTTTGAAGCCTAAAATAATACGGCGCACACTGCATCGTTTCCAGATGTGGGGGCAGACCACCGATGTGCAGCGCGCGTAGACTCGGGGATGGCCTCCTGAAATGTCTGAGCTTGGGGGAAATTCTGCCTGAAAACAAAAAAAAAAAAAAAAGGGGCAGTAATGAGCTCCTGGCCAAATGGAGGAAAGTGCCATCCCTAATCACTGTGAACATAGCTCTGAGCATGGCTGTGGAACAGGAAAGGCAGAGACAGGATGGGTGTGCTGGCCTGAAGGCAGCCTGCTTCTCCCTCTGCCCCTCTGCTTCTATCTTTAGGCTGATAGAGCTCGCTAACTCTTTCTCCATAATTATGTCTATAAGCTTTATGCAAGTACAAAATGAGTTAAAACTGTTTTCTTTTGCTTTTAAAGAACTTTATTCTCTTATTAACAAAACATACCCACCGTTTCATTCCTTCAGATTGAGCATTAAAGGTTATATACAGTGGCCCCATCAGTGCAAGTGTCCTCACACTCAGGGAATGAGCCTTAAACTAACATATGCAAAAACACCCCTGTTCCTCTTTGATACTTTGGCTCACACTGTTGCTAATACAAGTTCATCACCACAGTTAACTGTGCAACAACATGTGTTTTCCACATGTGCTGCCGCTCGACAGGACACAGCTTTTTAACACAGCGAAGAAACCAGAGTCTGTTTCTGTTAAACAGCCAGACGAGAGTCAGGTATCCAGAGAAGTCTAATTATAAGCAAAGTGTAGAATCAGCATGCAGTTCAATAGCATAATAATAACAATTTCATGTCTGCCCTGCAGCCACAGAGTCAGACCTGAGGCTACGGCACTTGTGGAGTTACTTTGATGTGAAAATGATAGAAAAGCTGACTTTACTTTTTCCCCTTTTTATAATTTACACCAAAATATGTCAGCTCATTAGCATACAAGCGTCTCCATCACAATAGTTGCAAATTACACAAGACGTCCTGGTGTGAATAAATCAAATGTGTGCTTTGGTGATGAAGAATGTGCCAGTTGTCCCTTGTTGTTGTAGTAAATGAGCCCGGTGCCTCATCCTGACACCGCTCTACCTCCACTACAGCAGCCTGGCACCGCAGGTTAGAGCAGCAAGTCCCCTGCAGCTGCTCATAATGTTTTTTTTGTTTTTTTTCCTCTGCCACAGCCAGGCCTCCTCTCCCCCTGCGCTTCATTCCTGCTCTGTTTCTGTAATGAGAAATTTGGCAGATCTCATCTCTTTAGTGGCTCTTTTGCCCAGGCTGTAAGCTGGGGGGGGGGGCTCATGTTTTTTGCCTTGTTTACAAGTGACAGCGTTATTATTCTCATAAGGGCTCTGTTTCTTATCACAGTGTTGTGCCGAGTGCGCCGCTGCTGCTCTCCTCGCGCGCCTTTCCTGCCAGCGCTTTTCTTCCCTTATTGACACTTGGTTGAAAATATGCATTAATTCTGGAGTTTAAAGCATGTATGGCGGTGTCTGGTCGCTGTGTTTGCTTGAAGTTGATTAATGATAGAAGCCGGCTCGGGGTCGTCCTCTGGAGACCCGCCTCGCAGGTTGTGCATGTTAACGAGCAGGAAGGGGAACACACAGCGCGCCGCTGATCCTCCGCCACCAGGAGGCTGACAACGGCAGCCCACTCGCTCCGCAGAGTCCATTCTCTCCTCTCCTCGTCTCACGTTGTTAATCTTCCTCATTTATCAATTCTAAGTGAATACCCTGTTGTCGGTTGCCATGAAAATAAAAAGCCTGCAGCTTTGCCGGGATTGGAATAGCTCAAAAGAAAGCTGAAATTATCATCAGCACCACTGAGGCCCCCACTCACAGTCTCACTGTAGCCAGACATTTGTTTTTGTTCCCCTGTTTCCTTCTCTATAAACAGAATCAGCACAGGTCTGTATCACTTTGTGGCTGCCTGTGTGAGAGGTTATAAAAAAAAAAAAAAAAAAAAAAAAAAGGATGTAAGAAAGTTAAGGATGGCAGAAGTGGAGCTACATTTTCACTCTCTTCTCCTCCTCCAGGCATCACATCAGCGTTAAGGAGGAACCACTGGACCCCGAAGACCATGAAGGGCCCCTCTCCCTGGTAACGACCGCCAATCACAGTCCGGATTTCGATCACCACAGAGATTACGACGACGACCAGGGCCACGACGACATGCTGTAAGGGTTAGCGCCAGCCCTCCCCAGCCTCAGAGGCCGAGGCAGTCTGGGTCATCTGGGAGACGAGAAGCGCTCCGCAGATAACAAACACTGAACTGCAGTCTCAGCCACTGATGACAGCTCTCAAATGTCTCCAAGTTAACTTTTTAGTGCCATTACAATACATAGCAAAAACACACACAAACAACACAGAAATACGCCCGACGTGAGGGTCCTCTTTTCTGATTCCTTTCTACTTTTGATTTAAGTAAAGCTTAAAAAAGTGAAAACTTCATTTCTACTCATGTGTCGGACGGACTTGTTTGGTACGGGGGCGACGTGCTCGCGGTCAGACTCTGGGAGACCCTCGCCGTGCAGCCAGGACGTACTGCACTCTGCGGACTGCAGGAGGGGTTGTGTCTCTCCCCCACCCACCCCCACTCCCTCTCTCTCTTTCTCTTTCTCTTTCTCTCTCACTCTCTCTCTCTCTGTCACAGACACACACATCTAACCACAAACTGAAGAGAGAGAGAATGACTGACATTTAATTTACACCGTGCTTGCGTGTGTGGTGTTGTGTTGTGTGGTGTGTGTGTGTGTGTGTGTGTGTGTGTGTGTGTGTGTGTGTGTGTGTGTGTAAGGGAGAACGAGTGCAGACTTCTGTTCATTGTCACTGCCTTCAACACTTCTGATTGGTTTGATTCCATCTAGGGTGGGAGGGATGTTTTTATTTGGGTGTATTTTTTGTTTGGGGGGTGAGAGGTTCTAAAATATCAACATAATGTGTCTTTTCCATCATTCAATGCTGTTCTTGATGTTGCATCTTTTTTTTTCTTTTTTTTTTTTTATTTCTTTAAACTGATCAGACCTCATGCCCATGCTGTGGAGATTCTGTGTGGTCAGCACTTGATGATGAATGTTTATGATTTCCTTTCATGTTGTTCTTTTAAACACACACACATGAAGCAGAATGTCAGATACCGAGCAGTATTTTTCTGTCATTTATTCCACAATCTTCCCAGCATAAGAAAAGAAAAAAAAAAAAAAGAAAAAAAAAGTCACCACCACTCTGAGGTGTAGCCCACCCCTCACCCCCTCCCTCATGAAGTCCATTGGCAATGCACTACTCATAATGAAGGCTCTCTCCACGCATCAATGAAGCTTAATTTAAGATGCGAATGAATGACAGAGAAATCATGCAGGTTATGGTTTATCCTTATGAAATTATACTTTAAAACAGCCCCTCACGGCAGAGCATGCTTAGCTGCAACAGAATTTCTGATCACTTACAAGCTCCGGGTTTTTTAAAGCAAAATGAAAATGTCAGGTGTGCACCGGCGAGATAATGATTTAGACCAACTAATTGTGATTCCTGAACACAACTGTCATTGTTAATCAAACGTGTCTGCTTTCCACGCTGTAATTTCATTCAGAGCTTGAAAGATAAACGTGCATTCCCTGTAGTTTTATTTGTATCACACGCATGACCAGTTTTAAGTTTTTTAGTGAGTGTTAATAATTGCACACCAGATGAAATGCTCATTTTCTTTCCTCCAAGGGAACAAAATCCCAAGACTTTGCAATAAGACCTAAACATTGCACATTCCAGCATTTGACAGCCATCAGAAAGGGGCCCAGACGTACAGTATATGCCATGTAGGGGATGTGGATGCCTCGTTGTTCAGTGTCACCCAAAAAGCCAATAGTTGTAGTCCACAACATTGAACTGAGTGAAATCCACATGTGGTTTTGTGACGCAGCGACAAAAAAAATTCCAGCCTTGATAGAGCTAAATTTTAAAGAGACCATGAATTTCAAGACTGCAATCAACCACTTTTAATTTGTTTTATTTATTATCATTATTATTATTATTATTATTTTATGTTTTATTTGGCTTTTTTTTAAGTTGTTAATGTGTTTTAATATCTTGTTCTGTGACTACCAAAGATAAACTACAAAGTCAATGTTGTGTGTTCCATGCAATAGCTGATAAGGCCAAATATCTCTCCTCCATTGTCTCCCATTGGACGATCTCAGCGGCTGCGGTCGGGCCGGTGGCAGACTGAATCGAGGGAAATGCTCCTCAAACTGGTGTTTTCATTCATTTTTATAATAAAAAAAAAAAAAAAAACCAAAGGGGGGGGTGTCTTGAACAGGACAGCTGCAGTAATTTTTTGCAGTGACCAAATCTGAATGGGAGGCGCTGATAGTCTGACTACATGATGACCAAATTAGGGAAACTTTTTTTTTTTTTTTTTTTTTTCTTCGTCTTTGGGCCAGTGAGTTGAAAAGGGAGCTTTTTTGGTCAGGAACAGATTTGTGTGCAACATAAAGGGTATGTAGAGAAAAGCTGATGAGGAAAAATATACTGGTAAATGGGAAAAGCTTTGCAGAGAACAATGTGAAATGGATTCTATACTTCAACTGGACCACACAATGATTCAATGTGTCTCTTCTTTTATTCCTTAACTTTTGTATGCTTTGAAATGATTGTATGCCACTTGTTAGGGGTTTTAGTGTCTTTGTTAAGATTGGCAAGACTTTATGATTGTGTTTAGTTTCTGTCAACTTATTACTTTTTATATTAAAAAACACTCCTGTCAACTAATAAGCTGGGTACAAGGTACTTTATGGCAGTTATTGTTATTGTTATTATTATTTTTTTTTAAGTTCACCGCTCATTAACTAAAAAGGAAAAAGGGCAATCTGTGGTTTCCAGAAGATGTATTTAATATCCAGGCAGCTGTGGGATGGGTCAGTTACAGCCGGGGCTAGGATCGTGAGAACAGAGCCGAGCTCATCCACAAACCCCCAGTCATCTGGCTGGTTTGTTTGGTATTCAAAAAGGAGGGAAAAGCGCTGGTTAGATTAGAACATTCTCAGCATGTGTAGCTTGACATTACTAAAGATAACAGCATGAGAAAACCGTTAGTACGCATACCTCATTTCAAACCTATAGGGAATGATTCAATTAAATGAGAAGAGAAATAAACAAACATTTCACTCAGTTGCACTTAGTTGTATGTCTTGCATGTGTAGTCTGATACTGTAGAGAGAAAAAAGTACAAAAAAAAAAAATAAGAAAAATGAGAAAATTAGAGCTTGTTTATCTTAAAGGTTTCATCCTTTTTGCCAAAACCAATCCAAACCTCAGGCCTTTTGTTCATGGAGATATCACCCAGCTGTGTGTGGCACATTCATCCTGTCTGTTCTCTGATGGGTTGTTTTAAGGGCGTTCCAATATTAGGTTGTACATACATGTCAGTATAGCCTTTGTCTTTTCCTGTCCTTTCCTCTCTCTCTCTTTTGTTTTTTTTTTTGTTTTTTTTTAAGATCAAAAAATACATTTGTGTTATGATGTTTGCTTTATCGCCACTGCTTTGTATTAACTATGAAATAGCTATGAGAAAAACTGCTGTATGTATTGGAATAGCAAACTGTGCTGCAAATGTATTTTACTTAGTAATCCTTGCTTTAAAAAAAAAAAAAAAAAAGAAAAAAAAAATCACATCATCCTCACAGACATCTGGGTGAGCTGGGCAGGGGCAGGCTGGGGGGGAGATTATCCCCGATTTTGGATTTTAAACTGTAATATAGAAAACAGACTTTTCTCTGTTATCATTGACCTAAGCATTTTGTACAGATTTTTTTCCCTCTTTGTGTTAAGCTGTTTTTGATACTTCCTTTTGATGGTCCAACCACTGCCTTCTGTGGCTGTATGTTAAAGATTACTGCTCTGAGAAAAGGGCAGACAGGTATATTTCCTCTACAAGATGGAAATATCTTGCATGACTAATCCCAGGGTCACAGAGATGGGGGTGGTGGGGGTGGGGGTATGGTTTAAGTGGTCAGTAATAATATAAGGGTGTATCAATCTAATGATATTTTATATGAAATTAATAGGAAAAAGAAGAAAAATATGCAGTGCCAAGATGTAAAGAATATTGTTAAATGCTGTCTCTTTTTTTTTCCTTTTTTTTGTTTGAGAAATTCATTTCATTCGCGCATCAGAGATGTGTCCTTCTCATCCACTTCACGTAGGTAAAAACACAAACATTTTGTTTGGCATCAAGATATTTATATTTTTATCTCAAGGGTCATTGTAAATGAGTCAAACCAAGCACAGCAGGCAGGTCGAAGGTGTAACGTCCTGCAAACTGCGGCCGTGTGGCATCAGATCCCCCACAACATCACACACACACACTGGCACCCGAGCTAAGACGCCATTGTTTCATCCATCACTAACCATCCAGCCCGCTGTCATTCCGTCCCCCTCTTTCCTCTTTCTCCCTCTCTCACATCACACTTTGTTTTTTTTTTTTTTCTACATGGAGGGGGGAGGGAGGGAAAGAAGAGGGGGTAGGGGGAGGCAGCCGAAGAGCTGTCACGGTGCTCTCATCCTGCAGCAGCTTGTCTTTCTTTCTTTCTCTTTCTTTCTTTTTTTTTCTTTGAAGATGTACTCTGTACTTTCTTTTTTTCCTGTTTTTTTATAGAGAAATATTATTGCTCATCATTTCCATCAGTCTGTAACCTCCTCATCATTCCTTGTCTGTCTGATGCAGACCACTCTGTTGTTGTCAGTGGCGATGACTGACGTGAGCATTCTAAACATGCAATAAAATGCTGGTTGTTCAGATCGTTTCCTCAAGTTTCCTCATTGCATCTGTTTCGTACAGTGAGCTGCATTTTTTTATTGTATCAACTCTCAAAGCAGAATTAAGTCCACATCTAAAGTTTGACTTGCACATGAAAGACGCACTTTCTGCAGCCTCTTAATACCGAATGCAGCCTGTTTGTTTGGCTGTTAATGTGTCAAAAGTTTCTCACTGATACAAACTCACACTGTAGGATATACCAGATATTTCCACCTGCAGAACAGTTTAACACAGACCTGTGTTTGTCATCTGCTGCAGGACTCCCATCTCAGCCTCAACATTAAATTATATCGTAATTAAAAAGAGACAGTTAAACTGTCTTTCCCTAACAGCAATTTAGGTAACTGCATTTGATAAGCTATAAATTGTAACACCATTAAAATTCCAGAAATAATAGCGATATGGATTTGGTGACAGGAGCTAATGCTGATGACCAGGACTTGTGTTTTTACGACAGAGGCACAGGTCATGTTGGCCACTAAACAGGAGACAAAGATCAAGTCTAAGCACTTTTAATCTTGTGAAACAAGCAATTACAAATAGTTGCATTGATTTGTTAAAAAGCTTTAGGTGACATAAATCGTTTCTTGCTTAGCTTATTGCAGGAAAACATAAATGTCAAGTGTATTATTAATTAAGGCCTTTGAAAGACAAGATTTAATGGAAACGATATAAAATCACAAGCAATCTTTCTGTTGGCAGTATTTCACAGGATGCTCAGGCTTCACGTGTGTCCGTGTTGTCATGACACTGATCAAAAACTGGATCAGATAACATAAAGTAAGAGGGAACACACAGTAATGGAAGGTGTTTGTGTAGT